AAAGGGTGGAATTTTGTAGTCTGGAAGCAAGGGTGTATCTTCTGACTGCCACAAAACAAACATTTTGAAATAATCTTAAAGCAGTAAGCCCTGTGGAGCAGGAGTTGTATCTTCTGACAGATCTGAACAGCAAATAGTTCTGCTAATTTAGCTAAACAAAATAATTTCATTTTTATTTAATGTTTTAAACTAGCAATAGTGACATCAATATTGATGTAGATACAGTACTTATAAACAAGAGCTTTGAATACATATATTCACGAATGGATGGTTTTGCTGTCTTGCTGGTGGTGAAATATTGTATAGGTCAGGAGACACATTTTTAGTATTTGTCACGTAGTGCAAGGCAATTTTGTTCTTCTAAAACCCCTTTAAATTGCAGGCATTAAAAGGAATTAGTTAAATATAGAAACATTTCATGAATGTAATTATACAGTAATGAAAATCTTTATCATTCAGGTCAAATCAGTAAATGATAAACCTGTAGAAATTTTGTGTCAGCTGGCATACCGTAGTACAATCTGATCCCTACAGAATACGGAATTCCGGCTGCAAAATTTTTGTAACTGTGGATGGTCTGCCACAGTTGAAATAGCTGTGGCTACAGACAGGCATTTCAGATAATTTAATTTCTTCTTTAAAAACCGAATCTGCTGAGCAGCAGTTAAGTAAATAACAGTATAAAGAAACTCCTGCTAATTATTCTGTAAGATCTCACAGAATTTCATTGGACTCTTTGAAGTTTACAGCACAAGTTGTAATAGGATCCCTTAGGATCAGTTGTTAGGCTAATGTGAAAACTGTATATTCTCAACATCTACTTGTTCTTGATGTCATAGAAGAAAAATCCGTACAAACAAGAAAACCCTAATCTCAAATCTGACTCAAGAAATTGATTCTTTCTCCACAAATGATAGCTTTGATTTGGATATAAAAGAATTTTGTCCTCAGGTACCAAAAACTGTAGTCCACATATGCACTAACAACAGTATTTTTAATAGATATATAGCAGTTATTATGGAGAAGTGCTCAACGTGGAGAAGCAAAATCAGCAATGCAACTAACTCATCACTGAATTAAAAATGACATCCAAAATAAACTGGAACCTTTGACACTCCTAAAAGCAAAGCATTTACACTCACACTGTTGGTACAGACGTATAAAAGGGATGTACGTTTGCTTATGAAAATAAATGTAATGGTCTGCTACTCTTAAGATTTATTTTAAAGGTAAAATTTTATTAAAATAAATATTTAATTCTTAATCCAAACACCAGTAATGTGACATTTCTGACTATACCTATCACTCAGTTTTATCCATATACATACAAACAAAGGCAGCATTCATGCTCTGTTAACAGTAAGATTAAAAAGTGGTATCAGTAATAAAACATAACTGAGTTGCCACAATTGATTAAAGCTTAAATAAGCTTTATCTTCATCTTTACACTATGGCCACTACTGCATGTGACACTCTCTCAGCATTGACATACAAGGACCATTCAAGTCAGTGGAAATCTTCCACATGCCTTGCATTGTTTTCTGATCAGAATGAACAAGCAGCATTGTTAGACTTGTACAAGATAAAAGATAACAAAAAAAATAATCAAGGAAACCATTAAGTTAATAAGCTTCTTATCTTCACATATGTTTATTCTATTTGGATCTATAGGCAAGTATCACAGGATACTGTTTTAAAATTATGCAAATGAGTATCTTACACAGCAAGAAATACGCAGAAATTAAATACTAAACATTTCTTCATCTCCCTCTAGCCAATCACTGTGCACAGACTGCTGTTTAGGATTTGCTTGCTTACACAACATGCTTAGGAAGAGCATATAAAAATATCATTTCCTTTTAATCATGTGCCAATAAAATTCTCTTTAACTTCTCAAATTAAAAGCATAAGTATACATAAACATACACACATGCATTAAAGATAAATGGACAAATCATCAGACTATTATCACATACTACCTTTTTGCAAAGAAAAAAGCTTGAATTAATTCTTCATTTACAAAATACTTTACCAGTTTGCAAAACTTACAACTCTTTTACAGCCTTCCTGATGAAAACATTATGTAATTAATTTTGTCCTCATTCCCATACAGCCAGATTCAATGAATTTTTATGGATATGGATAGTAGCTGTCAACCAAAGCAACCATGGATAGAAAACCTCTATAATGTCTAATGCAGAATGTGTAGGATATTGTAATATTTCAACCACTGATTTTTATTTTAAAGTGTAGCTGTTTGCAGCAATGGAATGCCATATGATAATGCACTCAGCTCTAATAGTGATTTATGCCTCGTTGCTTAATCATCAGGCTCATAAATTTATTTTCTAAAGTGAATTCTAGGCCAAATAAAACAAACTATAATTTCAGTGATCACTAATTAAACAAAGGTGGTGTTATGTTTAGAATTTGGCAGTTCTGAACCACTAAGAAATAGGAATCTTCCTCTTAGCTGTAAAACTCCACAATGAAACCTCTGTGCCATTCAACATAATTGCAGCTCAGAAGAAAATTGCTGAGCTATTGGCAATACACTCCCTGCATCTAGGTCAGAGCATTAAGTTCCTCACTCTTTGCAAAACACACACACTAACCAAGCTGAGACAGACATTATAATGAGACCAGGATAAAAGGGCTTGCAAATCTTGAAGTGAAAGGGATAACAGAAAGCCTAATGAAGAAAAACAGCCTAATCCATCAGAGCATGGGCAAGACAAGGGAAGTATTCATAGTTTGCTACAAAGGTAGGAAGCTGAAAGCCAGCAATGAAGATCTGATTTCCTCAAGAACTATTTAAATCTGTAGTCAGAGAAAAGGTAGAAGGAAGCTCTCTCTAGACAGAAGGTAGAAAGTAGAAGCTTTCCTACCAAAACACAAGCCCATCAAAATGTACTCCAAAGATGCACGCACCATAAAAAGCAATGCACAAGTCCCTTAAAAATTATTCCTGCTTCCCAAAAGCACATACACCACTGCTTCAGTGTCAGAAGTTTCCCTCCTCCCTTTAGAACTAGAAGTAACTGCTAGACCCTAAAAAAATAAATACATACCTACCTTTCAATACATAATCCTGTCCTATCAAACTCAGATGCACATGTAAAGAAAAATAATTTACACATGCTCTGAACATGTAAGGCTCCAAAAAATGACATGACCTACGAATTGTTCAAAATAAACAGCATGTACCTCACCCTCCATTCATGAGAAGTAATGCATTATTTAACCTCCAAAGGCTTAAGCAAACTTCCCATGCTGCAAGGTAACCTTGATTTGGCAGTAATAATCCTTACGCTGAAGAAAAACCTCTGTCTCTGACATGGCATTGCACTGATGGCCAGTGCAGCCCTCCCACTCCTCTCCTTACGTCTCTGTCTCACCAGAAGCACAACTGCTTACCTGGAGAGTCATGATGCTGCGAGGATGCCCAGGGAACGGCCTCGCTCCTTCTCCAGCGGGGACACGGCGCTTCTGCCTCTCGGCTCCTGTGGCGCGAGCGCGGCGTGCTCCACCGAGGGCGTGGGGCTGGTACGAGTGTCCTCAGCTCACCCGCCACGGCCAAGCCACGCCGGGGCAGGACACGGCCCCCTCGGGACCTGCGGGGACAACTGAGCGGCTACAAGTGCCCGGGAAGGGACAGTGGGGGCATTAAGCTCACACTAGTTTCTTCAGAAAGACTGAGCTCATTTCCATACCCCTGAGGATTAGGCCGACAGCCTGAGAGCAGAGATGCAGAAAGATTTCCAAGCCATTTGTTTGAAAAAGGAATTTCTTCAGTGATGTGAACCGCCACCAGCCCAGTTACTGCTGCTGCTCCCTCCGCCACAGCCCCTGCCTGTGCCCATGCCCAGCCCCGCCTGGGACCTCGCACCCTCCAGCTGCAACTCTGAAAAACATGCAGGTCATCCCTGGGATACCACACACAAGCAGTTCCACATACAAAATACCTTGAGAATGCTGGTTTTTTTCTTTGCTCTACTAAATAAAAGAACTAAAAAAATTAAATGAACCAACAAACTAGCCTACAACCGTAACCACTAAAGGAAAAAAAAATCTAGCCCTATTTATTATGTCAATTCATAAATAATTTATATTCACACCTCTATACATTTATATCCATCGCTCCTTGAGCACGGTTTAATCACAATACCGTATGCTTCAGCATTTTTAAATCCATAAGCTTCCATAAACCCATGTAAAAGGAGTGTTCCCTTCACCTTAAGACCGGGTTAAATTAAGCCAGGGTTTACCAAGAAAACAAGCCGAGTGAATTTCTGTAAATAGAAGATTAAAAAATAATCTGAAAACAACTCCACCAACTCTCGCCTCCAGCATCACAAAGCAACAATGCTGTAATTTTCCCTGCAGGAACTCTGCTCTTTCCGGTAAGAGGCTGCACGCAACCACGTTGTGCGCTCAAGGTGAATGCAGAACCTGAACGTGTGTGTAAAGATTTGGTAATTGGTCACGGCTGATTGCGGGAAACCCTGAACGGACCCAGTTCTTACCTGTCGTCCGTATTACCGCTAGTTACAGAACGCGATGTATGCACGTAATACGTCCCACATTAAACGGCAGCGAGGGACGCCGCTGCTGCTGCTATGAAGTCCCTGTGAAGCACCTGCTGACCTGACTTGGCCATGATTTCACTAGATGACGTACGACAACACAGATCTGCCGTCACCTACAAAGCAACTTATGGTAGCGCTCCGAGCGAGGAACTGCCAGCGCTCAGCCGGCGGTGGGTCCCGCCAAAGGCGGGCTTCTAGCACCGGCATCCGAACGCTGCCTTTCATCGGACGGCGACGCGCTGTTCCTCCGTGCGGCGCCGCGATCGAGCGGCCTCCCGTAGCGCCGCGCCGAGCCCGCCGCGCACCGCCCGCCCAGCCACCCCTCCCCCGGCAGCCGGCCGCTCCGCGCCGCACCCGACACCAGCGCAGCACTTCCCGCCCGGCCGAACTGACCCTCGCGCCAACCCTGCGCTGCTCCTCCCCAGCCCGCCCCGGATCACGGCCCCGGGGGCGGGGCGACCCGCCCCGCCTCACCTCACCGGACGGCAGCGGCGGCGGGGAGAGCCCGCCGTGCCGGCGCAGGGGCGGGCCGCCGGCGTAGGCCGCGGCGGAGGTAGGGCTCGGTGGCCGCCGGCGGGAGCGGGGCGGTTGCGGCCCGGGCCCTGCTGCGGCCCAGCGGTGTGGGCCCGGCCCGGCCGCCGGCTGCTCCGCGGCCCCGGCAGGCCAGGCGGTGTGGCGGCGGGGCCGAGGGCGGCGGGTGGAGCCATCTGCCTCAGGGACCGGCCGGCCCGTTTGCAGCGCGTTTTGCGGGAGCCGCGTTTTAACCCGCCTTTCCTTCGTGTTGTCAGGAGCTGGCTGAAGGCGCCCGGGGAGCGTGTGGGAGAGGAAGCGCCAGGAGAGGGGGTGCTGGCGGAGGCAAGCGTGCGCGGTGTTCCCCCGCTTCTCCCTTCCGCAGGAAGCGCGGGGGTCGTGACGCTGGTGCGAGGTGGAGGAGCTTAGTGGTTATTCTTTCCCCGTGGTCGCTTTATTTCCTGTTCCTCCATGCTTGTTTTCCTCGGTAGTGCCCATTTTGAGAAGACGTGTAATCCTTCAACTGTGAAACCTCTCACGTCTTGCACCTTTCTCATACACACGTATGTTGCTGACTTTGCTGGATACACCCTTGTAAAAGATCATCAGAGCATCCCTAATTGAAAGCTTTGAAAAACGATAACCCAGAGCTCTTTTTTTTTTTTTTTTTTTTTTTTTTTTTTTTTTTTTCGGTCCCAAATGTATCATAAGCTTCCTTTTCTAACTCAGTCACATGTAAGATTTGGTCACTTCCATTCTATAGTTGTTTCCACTTTTTGGTTGGTGCCACTGTGATGGTGAGCAAAAAGGATTAGGTAACTGCAGGGACGGTAGCTCCATAGAGGACTAATAAAAAAATGAGCTTATCTTACATCCCTGATGCAACTGTTCTGGCAGCTTGGGGGCAGAGGGGAGGGGATAACAGAAAGCAGCAGGGCCGCCCTGCCCTCCCCAAACAGCTTCTCCCATGCCCAGTGTTGCAGGCAGACAGTGGGGCTCGATGGACCATTGCCTGGGTGTCTCTGCAGGGCATTCATAATTACTGAGAGTACGGGGAGAGGGACACAGTGCTCTGTTGTATTTTGAAGTACTTCCTCAGTTTTGCTCTTCTCTGAAAACTACTGTGGTTTTGACTCTCATTGTGTATAACAGCTTCACAGTTGGCATTGCATTGATACAACTCTTCCATGCGTTTCTCCTGCTGGCTTCCAGATGGGGGTTTAGCTGAGGAAAAGTCCCCCAGATAGATGTTACTTTATGGCAGTACATACTCTCCGGGGAATTTCAGTGAAGATGGGGTCTTTTTTTTTTATATAAAGGTAGCTTACTACCCATACACAAAGAACTGATAGGACTAGCAAAATGGTATCTTGTGACTATTTAAAGGTTGCCACTCAGGAGATGAACATAAATGCTATCCATGTGCCTACTTGAGTAACTAGGAAACCTAGGAGAGAATCATGTCTGTCTTCTCCGGACTTGAAACCTGAGCTGCTCTTACTCTTAAGCTTGGCTGTGCAACAATGAAGATACTGCTAGTTTAGCAAGGAGATGGTGAATACTAGCCCAGGCACGACTACTGGATTACCAAGGCCTGTAATCAGGCCTGCCTTCATGTCTTTATTGTTCCTCTGCGCTAGGTCAGTCAGAGCCATAACAATTATCCATTCTCTGCTCCTGTGTCCTTTTTCTTATCCCTAAACACATAGTCTACGTGACAGAAGAGTAAGAGAACCCTTTGAGACTTTCTGGAGGCCTGTAGAAGATTGCCTTCACTGAAAGCATAAGTTAATAGAGTCTGCAGATTTCTATCATACCTTCTAAATGCAGACAAACACAAGACATAGATTAAAGAATGAAAACGGAAATTAAAGTTTTAAAAATCCTAAATAAATTCAGGAACTTGGTTTATGTTGTGGTTCTGCTTTTTTTTTTTTTTCCATGTCATAATATTGCTACAGTGCAGCTATGCAACAGTGAATATTGAGTAGTCCTTCATCTTGTGGTTCTGGGGTTTTTGGGGGGTGAATTTGGTTTTGTTTGGTTTTTTTGGTTTTTTTTTTTTTTTTTTTTGTGCTTTGGGTTTTTTTTTGTTTGTTTGGTTGTTTTTTTATTATTATTTTTTTAATCAGTAATACCTCCAGTTGCTTTTGTTCAGCTTTGAAACAGACTCTTGTCACTGGTGTTGCCTTGCTGTCTGATCTGCTGGGTTTATTATTTAAAAAAAAAAACAACAAAAAAAAAACCAAACAGCAGCACAGCATGTGCCTTGTGGAAATTTGTTAAGGATTAGTATTGAGCTAATATCTAATGTGAGGAGGGTGATAGTTGCCAGTATTACTTTGAGATGTGATGTTTGTCTTCTGCATTGCCAAAAGAAGCTTCTGGTAATGATGTCCACAGCAAACAGTACAGTATTTGAACTAATGTTTACCACTTTCTTCTGTTCACAGGTAGGGTGGCAAAACACAAAAGAACCTCAGGATGTCTGTAATTCCACAAGGGACAGCAACGCTTCGTAAAGCAAAGAAAATCACTGTAAAAACGTGTCTAGATAACCCCTTTGTTTTTCAGTGGAAAACCATAGATGGAGAAGATATGCATTTTATACTACAGACCTTAGAAGAAAAGATTAAACGTATTGGACTTAAAAAGATTGAGACTCCGAGAAAGAAAAAACGTTCCCTTACAAAAAAACAAATGAAAATAAAGGGTGATGCTAGCACCAATGAACTCCCTAAAGAAGAGGAAACAGAACGCCATCAACAAAAACCAGGATGGACTGACATAAGTATCAGAAGACAGCTTGCTATAGGAGTTAATGAAGTTACAAAAGCATTGGAAAAAAATGAACTACTTCTCTTGCTGGTGTGCAAGTCTGCAAAACCTGCCATGATCACATCGCATCTTATTCAGCTGAGTGCAAGTCGAGCCACACCAGCAGGCCAGGTTCCCCGTCTCAGTGAAACAGTTGCACCACTTCTTGGCTTAACATCCATTTTAGCACTAGGCTTTAAAAAGCAATCTGATAAATTTACCGAAGCAATAGAGGCAATAATTCCAAAGATACCAGCTTTGGAAGTGCCATGGTTTCAGTACAGAACTGAAGAATCCGTGGCTTATGCACATACAGATTCTTCAGACAATCGGGAAGCCGAGCAGCTTGCAGAGGCGCAGGGGGATGAGCTCACAAGCCAGAAGCGGAAGCGTATGGAAGGCAATCAGCTTGATCTTTCAAATGTAATTTTGCAGCCTTTGAAAATCAAGAAACTTGTTCCAAATCCAGATAAGATAAAGAAGCCACCTCGCAAAAAGAAAAAAGCTTTTTCAGCATAACTGATTTTAGCTTGGTTCTTCGTGTTAAACTGTTTTTTTTTTGTTTTTTTTTTTTTTTTTTTAATGCAGCATGGAGTACAGCTCTAACTGAATTATTTTGTTAGGCTTTACAGAGTAAAGTGCTTGAATACAAGGTGAACTTCATGTTGTATTCAGTTGAGGTACTTTTCTGCTTTAATAAAGAATATTGCTCAAATTTGGATGTGAGTCTTTACCTGGGGGTAAATATTTCATTTGCAGTTGGAGATCACAGAGTTAAAATCCGTAATGAATATGGTGAGGTAATTTGAGACATAATAAGTACATCTTTGGAATTAGTGAAAAGCATTAAACAAACTTTATATTTTTTATACAGAGGAACATGCTTCAAGCAAAACGGATTTAAATATAATTATTCAAACAAATCAATACCAAAAGTGAAAGTTTATTTAAACACAGGTCCATGCCAGTATAACCCTTTTAAAGCTGGTTCGATGCTTGTTTCAAGTAAACAGCTCTAATGGCACAGGCAGACTTCCCTTTTGAACTTTCATAGTTTGCTCTGCAGAACAATAAACTTGTTTTGGTCAAGAACGTAGGCAGACTTGGGTTCCATCTAATACTTCGTGTCTGATCTGCTGAAGGAAAAACTTTATTTTGAAATACAGAACAAAACCAAAGTACTACTGCTGCATCTTGAAAAAAAGACAGACTTCTGTATTGACACACATCCTGAGAGAAAATGTAAACTAACCTAAACTCAATTTGATTTTTAAATGGAGTCTAAAATTGTTTCCCAGGAAACTGAGATAAGCCATATACTGTTGTATATAAAGTAGATGACAGCTGTAACTGCTCCAAGACTGAAAACACCATGTAATTTTTGAGTTTCCTTCAGTTTCACTGAAGGCTATGAAAAGTTTTCTATTGAGAGAGTTGTGTTCTAGGAAGGAAAGGGAATAGTGCTGCAATTCAGACAATCAAAATCAACAGCCTAGGAATTTACTTGGCACTCCATATTTTAAGCAAAAGTCAATACAGTAGTGCTGAAGAAAGCATAAAATACCTTAACTGAGTTATTTTGTTGTTCCTTAAAGATAGAAGTTACATGTTTTCACAGATTTGCTAATCCAGACTTCAGTGCCATCAGGTAGCTAATCTGTATTTTGAATTTATTTAGAAGTGACTTTAGTTCATGATACCAACTATGAAGGGAGACAGTAGCAACGATTCTGTAGTCATGATGCTCCCTGAAGGTTAAACAAAACTAAGCCATTTAATGCCAAAATTTTTTACCCTCCCTGGCTGAGGGTAGCAAGAGGCGGCGAGGTTTTTTTGCCTTGCTTTGTAGTCCTTCATACATGTCCTTTGTTTTGGCTTTTTGGATGCATAAAACTTTGAAGGCATGCTAGCACTAGTGTATTTAATTCCCATGTTGGCTAACTGTTACATTTAAATCTTAGCCTTTCAACAGAGCATGAGGATTAGCTTTGGTAAAGAACGTAGGCGCAGCAATCATCTTTCAAGCACTTTGCTCTCTTCAGGGATTTGTGTTCTCTCTGCAGACAGGAAGTTACTTTGGGAAAGAATTTATAGATGTTTCAAAAGACTGGTGGGAAGGGTGGTGGAGCAAGCGTTAAGTTTGCCAATCTTTGTGAAACCATCTATTAGGTTTCGAGGAGTCTTACCTGGTAGCTGTTCATAGCAAGCCTAATGCACAGACAGGTTCAACTTTGGAAACAGGAGAGACTCTCCCATTGAGCTGCTGGCAGTGGCATGCACACAGATAATAACCTTTCGTTAAGTACCTGCTTAGGAAATGCGAGTGAGTTGCCACAATTTCTACCTCCTGAGTAACTGTCCTATCGTGTGGGTGCAGGCTGGGACACCTTCAAGATTCACATCCTCCTGATGCTGTGATACTTCAGCGAAGCACTTGAGGTGAAGAGCAGGGCTAGGGAAAAGGTCTGAGCACTCAACAGGGACAGAAGAGACCATGTTGGATTACACAGCTGGTAGGTAACACACAGTTTCATGAACAGAACCCTCCAGGAACTGCCTCAACACTCAGGCTCAGATGTCCGCTTCCCTCCTGCTCTCAGGCCTGCTAAGCCTTCCCTCTCAGCTACAGTGCTGCACAGCTTCTACAGGAGGCACAACTCTGTCCTCCTTCCTCTCAGTGAACATGCAGCATGAGCCAGAAAAGGAGACAGAAGCTCACCCCTCTGATTCAGAAGCAAACGGCACCATTTTCGCACAAGATGGTACAAGAGTGGCCACACTCCTTCCTTCATGTGCAATTACCCCAAGATTTGGGCAGAAAGCTAGGCTGCAGGAAACCCAGGCTCAAGTCTGTCTTCCACCTGGACATACTCGGTCCCACTGTGGCCTCAATGCTTTTCCACCAAATAGTACTGGGAAGGATTTGCCTTCTGATTTCAGAGAAGGGAGGGTAAAAGAAAATTTCCGCCTACCCTTTCTTCTTTTTGAAGGGAGGGAAGGCAGAGAACATGAACATATCCTTCATCTGGTGTTCAAGACTACCCATCCAGATTAGGGAGAGCTGGGCTGTGATCATTTCTTAGCAAGGAAGTACCTTAGCCACGAGCACAGAGCTATGCCCTGCTGCCCCCCTGCCTGTTAGGCAGCAGCTGAGCGAGGATTGGCGAGGCTCTGCCTTTAGTGCTGAAGCAGAACGCACCGAGCCCCTTGGTGAACCTCCTCCTCTTCCCAGCAGGCTCCAATAGCAATGCCCAGCCAGGAAGGCACCTTCCTGCCTTTTGGGAATTAAGAACTTCAGTCTTTGATGGAGTTGAGATTAAATCTTTCTTGTTACCTCAGATATCACTATCATCAATTACGTTTTCAGGCACTTAATTCTGCTCAGGCCTCACACAGGGAGTCCAAGCACCCTCTGCACCATCTGTTATGCCTCTGCTACTAGCAGACAGGTCTCAGAGTGGCTGAAGTGGTAAAGCCCAACTGCACCATTAGACATCTGAAAGATGTCCTCTGAAGCCCTTTTAAATTCATAAGGTCCCGAGCTGGTGCACACCCAGGGGTCAGACAAACCACATTCAATCCCTTCCTTTGTTTGAAGGAGGTCGAATGCTTTAATCACAGAGCTGTAACAAAATAAGGGAAAGTATTTATCACTGTCTCTAGGGCAGAATCCTCTCAATCACAATTCAACAAGAAAATGAAACCAAACCACAAACCATTCACACATTGGAAAAGGAGCAGGAAGAAAGAAAAACCCCACTGCTATAAGGAGGTGGGTAGGGCTAGCAGTTACGAAGAACAGACAAATTTATCTTCATCTAAATTGATGTTTTCAGGTACAGAATTCAACTTCCAGCAAAATCTGCTGTCAGAATTACAGGCATGTTTAAAGGAAAGTTCAGACATTTGCATTTCATGAGATATTCAAGTCACATTCATAAGATGCTCACAGCACAGAGGCTTCACTACCACAATTTGGCACTTTCAGCTAGAACAGTTTCTTACTGCAGATTTTCTCAGCGCTCACGTTACTGCAGCATCAGTGAGCTGAAAGAACTGCAATCATATCTAGCTATGACACTATGCTGGAATGCATATAAAGTGCTTCAGAAGCCGCTCTGGTTGCTGAGCATTCACGAGGGAATTAAAACAGCTCCCCCCAACAAGATCAGCCTCCTACATTTCAGGAAGCGCAGTACAGAGACTTCCAAGGACTGAGGGTAGAGCATTTTTCCTCTGCTTACCAGCCACATATATAGCAAAACTTCTTGTTCCAAAGTCAGGATAAAAACACTACCAGGAACAATTTATGAATACATATTTACACAAGATACTTTTCATTAGAATTACAGACTTCATAGGAAATCAAAGTAGACAAAGGAATATGTGCAATTTTGCAGAAGCATTGAAAACATTCAAACTATAAATATCCTGATAGCACTACTAAAATTCTTAGTTTTACACACAGGCTGATGTTATTCTACTGAGGAAAAACTAAGGTTTTGTGCCACAACTGTAAATTAAGTACAGTAACGTATTATCATTCCGGCAACATAGGTAACACCTGCACTGAACAGTGCGATACTGTTAAATCAATCCACTGATCTATTGAAGATCAAAGTACAAATCTGTATGTTTATTGATTTGGCAGCGTTGCTTATGGAGAAACAAATGCACTAGTTAAACCAGTACATTGTCATACTGCTCCAGTTACAAAAACATCCAGGACTTTCATAGAGCTACAAACGTATCGTACTTCATGATTTTCCCCCAAATGATGATATCCACGTGAAGTAAATAAGCAAAGATACTCAAGTTTGTATCCTTCATTCTGTTACACTGACAAACATACACCACCACTTAATAAATAGAAATGCAGCAGTTCATCCACATAATAGCAAATATTTTTGTACCCTAATCCAACACTGAAGTTCAGTTTGTACAAAACAGTCTTTTCTACAGAGTGGAAAAAAAATACCTTCTTCTCATCAAGGTGCAAGCTAAGCTTTGAAACTTAAATGAATGTGCTTTTATTCTTTTCATGGACAATAAAAGAGTTTCATGGACCTTCTGATCTATCTGAAAATGCATAAATTTGGTCACATACGGATGTCTTCATTGTTCAGGTTTAATGGATTATTTCAGTATCACTGACGTTGTGCTTTTACTCCTCTTGAACAATACCGTTCCAAGAGTTATGGAGATCAAATTAACTCAAATGATGACCTCAGAGTTCTAGAAACTTAAGTATCCTCATTGTAATACAAGACCAACCTAAAGAAAAAAGAAAAATATGATATTTTAGTTCAAGTATGGCAATAAATCTAAATATCATTAGTTTTCTGCACCTCAATTATGGATCTTAAATACGACCAACTAAAAATGTTATTTTAAAACTTCTGCCCATTTTAGCCAGTGTAGATTAATGTAACATTATACCTAGCAGAATTCAGAAGCCCTTTTATTCTCCCTTACCTTTTCAGATTCCATGCCAGGACACCTCCAGTTGTACAAATAATACTGCAAATTTCCATCGCCAATCCCAAACTTGAGTTTTTCCAGGAATGTTTTGTTTTCCATTAAGTCTAGTGCATTGAACACATCAAATCCTTTCTGGCAATAGCAAAACATTTTTTAAATTTTACTTTTTAAAATTTCAAATGATGCACAAATGATACTTTACACAGTGGTATATAATATCCAAGAGACTAGGCT